TTTGCAGCCCTGAAATTTCTGCTTTTCCCTTCATGAAGTTGGTGTTAGTTGCAGGTATCCTGCTGCTACTTAGCAATTAAAATGAAACTTACACGTCTGAGGAAGACCGTAGGAACTGTGCCTCTCCCAGGTAGAGCTGATTAGCAGCAAACTCAGGGGGTTGCCAAGGATACTACACTGACAAAACAAGAGAGGGATATGAGAGCCATGCCCCAATTTACGTGGATTATGCTAACTTTGTAGTGATAATTGTATGCTCTTCTGAATACAATTTTAATATCAGATGTGAAACATCTGCTGCCCTGATGTATAAAAGAACAGTCTGCTGTTGCCTAGGAAACACGACTTTCATGATGATTATAATATAAATTTTGGACTGGATTTACTAGTTTGCCTTCCCTGGAGCCTCAGATAAACAAGTTGATCTGGTTTTGGTGATAGAGACGCAGAACAGGGAGAAGGGAGTGAGCGTACTGTCAGCTACAACTCTGCATTTCTTCCATTGAGTCTTCCGTCCAGTGCTGAAAGCTGATTTCTTTCCACCTTCCAGGGAAGAAAGCTAATGCTCCTCCAGCAAAATGCACACCTCTTGCCCTGGGGTGCAAGCTGGGATTGACACTGGACACTGCAATCCAAGGGTGATTGAAGGCTTTGCAGGGAAATGCTGACGTCTCATCTGGCAATATGTGAAGGCATCACTGTATTGCCAGAACAGAAGGGCTAGAAGCCTCCTGTGCTTCTGGGAATGTTCAGCTTTCTCGAGTGTTATTGCAAATTGGAGTTAATTACTGCTCTTTTACATAGGGGATGTCAGGTCAAGGAGAAAGCATCAGTTTGAAGAGGAGATGCAATTGTAAAGGAACTTTCTTGATAAAATGTGTGGTTTAGCCCAGGTGTATGGCACTGTGTTGCTGGATTGCATCCTGTCTGCCTGCAGGAGCAAAACAGCGATGAAAGGAAAACAGGAATGGAAGAAATTTCCACGAATTGAGGGAGAAAGGTGTTCTATTGTGTTAATACCAGTGTCTCCAAATGAAAGAGGGACTGATGGAATGAGAAGTACCAAGAAGCATGTTTGGTTCAACAACTTCCATTTGTATCATTTCCAGTGGTTATTTAGAGACTTAACAAAAAAAGAAAAAAAAGAAGAGGGCAAGATCTGTGCCTTGTGGGGCTCTCCTCCATTTATATCTCCTATTTGTATCTGTAGACATGAAAATGGCAGGCATAGCACAGGGCTTGTTTCCTTATTCTCTAGGGCAATACTTGATAACAGTGTGCAGTAAGTATCTTGAGTGTTGGATTCTAAACAATTATCCATAAACACAGCAGATTTGATTAGCTTATGTATTTACCCTGATTGCATGCCTGAATTAAATATTTGCAAACAGTGCCTTATTTTGTGGAGAGTCTATGCAAATTGGACCTGCAGCTACAGGGAGCCACACTTGTCGTACACACTAACCTCTGTGGATTTGAAAATAAGGTTTCAAAGGGTACTGGAGCCTGAGCTTTTTGAGTTGGCTCCAGGGTTCCCCACTTAAGCACAGTTTCAGCAATGGTGTTACTGGGGATAAACTGATAGGTGCATTCTCAGTCTTCAAGGGTGTGAGATGTGGGTCAGCATAAATAAACAGCGTGGTGCCGGCACTCTGAGATTACAGGGCATGGCAATGACTCCAGGTGCTCAGGCTCTGAAATAGGAGAGGCCACGCTTCCAAAATGTCCTGGTACAACCCCAGTTTGGTTTCAATGGGCTCTGTGAGCATTGGGTGCTTCTGGAAGGCACTTTGTATTCAGCGAGTGCTCAGCAAGACAGTTTGTGTTTGTTTCTGGGCAGCTAAGAGTGGCTTTGGAGATTTAAATTTTAAGAGTGTGTTGTGCCTACTTATTTGTTTTTGGACAGAAATACGTCTTATGGTGCTTCTGCTTTCAAACATTAGAGTCTTCAAAGCAGAAGTTGATAAAGGGATCTTTCTGACTGCTAAGAGAAGAGCACTTGTCAGAAACTGCCATTTTTGACCAGATATACTGATAGAGCAGCGGGCATTAATGTTCCTGTTGTAGACAGATAAAGTTTGACATGAAGAAAGGGTTTCTTTTGGTTTTGTGTCTTTTTTTTTCTTCTTGTTAACCACACAGCAGATTTAGGACTCTCACAGAGCCTTTCTGCTGCCTCTCTTCTCTGTTTCTCATTTTGTCAAAAGAGAAAAATGAATCCCAGCGTGTTTTCTGTGGTGATCTAGAAGCTCCAACAGTGTTTTTATTTTCTGGATTTTTATTTCCCTACTTCTAGTGAATGTAGCAAATGACAGCATGTAACCGGAGCAGCCGTTCTCTGCATTTCTTGGCAGTGTGCTCTGATGAGATACGCAGCAAGAATGAAGTAGCTGCAGGCATCTCAGTGAACCCATGTTGTTAAAACACAGCGTGTGTCCTGGGGTTTTGGTTCTGAACGTGGAATGTGGGGAAAAATGCTGATCTGGAAGGCAGGGTAAATAGCAAAGAATGTGTGTTGTTCAAAACCAACACACAGAGTTGTTGGAGCAGTTCAGCCTTTTGACTTTCAGTCTTGTGCTTTTAGGATCTCATTTACAAAATGACTAATAGTACAGTCTTTATCAACACAGTTACAGCAATACTTTCTTAGTAATTTGGTTGGCAAATGTTCCTTAAAATCTTGAAAGAGCAGGCCATGACGTTTCTAATTCTCAGGTGCTATTTCCAATTTAAAATTCAGAGGGAAAATTGTCAGTGGTCAGGGGAAAGAGGAATCTGAGCATCTTAGCTGCACACATAAATAATTAAAAAGCATGTTGATTTGCAGACTGAAGTGGTAGGAAGAGAAGTAAGTGTATACTCGATTGATGAGAGTTTGACAGTGTTATTTGGTGTGGGGCTATGTGGTGCTCTGTAGGTGCTGGGCCCTTGCTGTGGGTTGCATAGTGCAGTACAGGGAGGGGAGGTGACCAAGCATGCTTTGCTTGTTGTACTGCCAGGGAGTGCCTGAGCCATCTGCCCAAGAGGAAGGAGCTGGCACTTGTGCTTGGGAGCTAAACAGGCTTTGGAAGGGAGGTGTTTGGTAGGGGAGAGGCCTTTGGCCTCAGCTGCATTCTGTCTTGAAGCTGTGCTGCCTGTATGGCTTAGGGTGGAATGGCATGGAGGGTGAGAAACTGCATACAGGGCTTGTTGGGATGAACGGTTTATACTTGAGTTCACTTTCTTGTCCAGAAGCAAATAAAACCACGATGTAACTCCTTTCCTGCAGAAATTGCACTTGTGTATGGTCAAGGAGTACATTCTGACTCAGAAAGAGTAACCTGAAAGTCAGCTGCGTGTGTACACTTCCCCAGTGTCACCTCTTAATTTGGTCGCTGTCTTCCTGTGTTGTGTTGCGTTTCCCACTGTGTGAATGTCACTGTTCAAAGGCTGTGTGGCAGGATCTGCTGTGCTGTTCAGTTGGATATGGCATCCCCACCTTCACAGCTGACACAGTTTGAGTCACATAGCCTGTAGATATGACCCGGGGATCACAGCTGTCCCAGACTTCCCACCTTGTGAAGAGCTCCCAGTGCACCTGAGTGCTTTCTGCCAGTCATGTTCATACACTGAAAAGTGCAGGAACTGCCAAGAATGGCACTGCTATTACAAAGGAAGAAAGTTGAAAATAGACTTTATGTACATACCATGAGCATGAGAGAAAAGTCTGTGCGTTCCCCATGGTGTTACTTGTTCTAAGCCCATATTGTCCACTTCTGAAATTCAGGAGCAGCCTCTTTTTGCACTGCGTTCACCAAGGGACAGACCCTTTGGGAGGATCCTAGAAGATGAGCAAGTTTAGAAGTGTATCATTCCTACAACTTTCTTCTTGTGAAAAACCCACAGGCAGTCTGTAGAATGTGGACAGTACCTGCAGAGAATTGAATCATTGAATCATAGAATCATAAAACCACTAGGGTTGGAAAGGTTCTCTAAGATCACCAAGTCCAACCACCAGCGCGTCCCCACCATGCCCACTAACCGTGTCCCTCAGTGCCACATCTCCATGGTTCTTGAACGCCTCCAAGAACAGTGATTTCACCTCCTTCTTTGACAGCCTGTCATGCCACTGCATCACCACTCTTTTGAAGAAGAAATATTTCCTCTTAAAGTCTGTGAAAGCGCAGTTTCAGATATAATTTTTTTCTGATCGCTTCCAGGGTTACAAAAGACCATAAATGGGTCAGCCCAAACTTCAAGGTAGAGAGAGAAATCACAGCATTGTTTCCTTATTCTGTGTGAGTACTGGTGAGACAGAACTGAGAAAGTTCCTTTCAGTTGTGTTACCCTTCTTGTCTGTCAAAGCAGCCAGCGCTGCAGTTTTAAGATGGTTTTCAGGAAGAAAAGATAAAATTAAAAAAAACTGACTGTAATTCTCCGTAGGTGCCTTTCAGTGAGAAATTGCAGCTCGTGGCATTTTGCACAATACCATGTTTGTAGTAATGAGTGCTTTGTTGTGTTCTACTTTAGTTTTCCAAATCAGTTCTTAATTTATTTTTCTTTCATTCATGCTATGCTGACTAAATGAAAGCTAAAAGCTAGAAAGCTATGAATTAAAGAAAACTAAATTGTCTCTGATAAAATGCAGCCAACAATGTGTAATTTTCAGTACCATAATATATGTAGGTCTCTCCAAAAGCAATGCCCTCTATGTACTCCTATGGAAATTACCATAGAAACTGAGAGCACAGCATTACCAATAGATACAACAAATTCTCAGCTACAAAATGCTATTTTTCAACATAATCATTATCGTTAGCTATGCATTTTTGCCAGTGATGAACAAGAGACGTTTGGTTTTTCATCTTCATATGACCAGGTGATCAATTTTGTGTTGTTTTCTTTTGATCCTTATGGTAAATATTTTGTATTATCTACGTCTGTTGAATTCTGTTAATATCAGAGGACTTGCAGAAAATAATTGCTGTATATTCTTAACTCAGTTGTGTCTCATTTTGCAGATAACATGCATGTGTCACTGGCTGAGGCTCTGGAGGTTCGGGGAGGGCCACTGCAAGAAGAAGAAATATGGGCTATTTTGAATCAAAGCGCTGAGAGCCTTCAAGAGCTCTTCAGAAAGGGTAAGCATTTTCAAGGAGGGATATATGCAGAACTGGAAACATCTTGCATATGTTTTCCTGTTATGTACTCCCATATTCTTCATCAGCTCTAAACACACGCAGTAATCTACCCCTCAGTAAACTGCTTTTCAGGTGAGCTGTGCCTCAGCCCAGCTACTATTTCCAGCCATTCTGTCATGTTCTGTTGGGACATAGAACACATTGGGTTTTGCATGGTGACAGCTTCTTTGATAGGAGGTTACTATATATTTTCTGCGTTATTGTAAGTGTTTAGAAAGGAGTTGGAAACACAGACTAAGTGTTAAATGTGGCTGATGTGATTGGAGCAATTTGATATCGAAGGGTTCACAGTGGAAGGAAGGGATGCCATTCAGAGGGACCTCAACAAGCTGGAAAGGTGGGCCTGGGTAAACCTGATGAGGTTCAGCACGGCGAAGTGCAGAGTTTTGCACTTGGGCCAGAGGAATCCCAGGCATCCATACAGTCTGAAAGGAGCAGTCCTTGAGAGCAGCCCTGCAGAGGAGGACCTGAGGGTCTTGATAGATGAAAAACTTAACACGAGCCAGCAGTGTGCCCTTGCAGCTCGGAAAGCAAATGGTATCTTGTGCTCATCAGAAGAGGGGTGGCCAGCAAGGACAGGGAGGTGATTGTCCCCCCCCTACTCTGCTCTTGTGAAGCCCCATCTGGAGTACTGCATCAAGGTCTGGAGCCCCCAGTACAAGAAAGGCAGGGAGCTGTTGGACAGGGTCCAGAGGAGTACCACGAAGACTGGAGGGGACTGGAGCACCTCTCCTCTGAAGGCAGACTGAGGGAGCTGGATTTGTTCAGCCTGGAGAAAAGAAGGCTGTGGGGTGACCTCATTGCAGCTTTTCAGTACCTGAAGGGAGCCTACAAACAGGAGAGGAATCAACTCTTTGAAAGGGTAGATAACTGCAGGACAAGGGGAAATGGTTTGAATTGAGGGAGGGGAGATTTAGGTTGGATGTCAGGGGAAAATTCTTTACAGAGAGAGTGGTGAGGTGCTGGAAAACAGGCTGCTCAGAGAGGAGGTTATGGATGCCCCGTCCTTGGAGGTGTTCAGGGCCAGGTTGGATGGGACCCTGGGCAACCTGGTCTAGTATTAAATGGGGAGGTTGGTGGCCCTGCATGTGGCAGGGGGGTTCAAGATTCATGATCCTTGAGGTCCCTTCCAACCCTGGTGATTCTGTTATTCTGTGGTTGCAAAATCAAGTATAATACAGTACAGTGCAGTCACACTCAGGCTGCTCTAAAATGATTCAGTTCTGAGCTAGACAAAAGCAAGCCACTGAAAAACACTTGATCAGAGGGCTGGCAGTCACTGCCTAGAATGCATTTATTGATACGTTTCCAGGTACTGTGAGGTATGTGATTGCCTGTTCTATTTTCAGGTATTTTCAAGTGGTGTCAGTAAATCTCTCCCCACTGACCCCAAGGAAGACTGTAAGCTGAGGATCTTATTTGCAGTGCTGCTAGTAATTGTCTGTTCTAGCATTATATCTAAGTCTGGTGTCCTTCTTCTCCCCCCTTCTTTTCCCTCATGTTTTCCTTCATTTTTATAACCTGCTACCCTTCAGCCTCTGCATTATCCCCTCATACTATTTCTTTAATAACAATAAAAACTGATGTCAGCTTTTCTGAAATACTTTTTTCTGAATGTAAATTATGGGTAATTTTAGGTATTGTATACAAATTGAATTTCAGCCTTGTGCTAGCAGCAGTCCACATGGGGTGAGAAATATTCCCTATTAGGAACATTGACTTTATTGTTGCTATTTGACCAACTCTCTCTGCTCCTTGTATTGCAAGAAGAGGAAGCTGGCATCTTCTTTCCAGTCTCTTACTTTGATAACTCTAAAAGAGAATTGGAGAACGATTTATTTATTTGTTTTATGACAGTGAGCGTGAAGAACTACATATAACTTCACTTAAGATATATCTTGAATGGTTACAGGGCTGGACACTTCAACACCTGAAAGAAGCCTGTACCATAAGTATGTAACAGCGAAACTGCTTAAAAATTGTAGACTAGAGTGTTTTGCAAGATTGAAGTCTTCACTAGAAATAGGAGCTCACCCTTTCCTAGCAGTGCAGAAAAGAGTTATAATTACACAGAAGACTGCCAGCAAGATGAGAGTGAGAACACAGTGCATCCCTCCTTCAGAGGAACAATGTAGAAAGATGAGAACACAGAAAGCAAAGCTGCCCCAGGACTACTTCTGTGTGCTTTTAAGGTAGGGCAGTGTCTGCCAGTCAAGACTGGCTGAGATGGAAGCTGTTTCTGGTCTCACTTCCTATCAGTGAATACCAAAACACAACTTTAGATAAAATCAGTGCCAGAAGAATCTCTCTCTTTTTGGATATGTCTTACTGAGCTGTTCTGCTAGTTCAGCAAACTGTTTTCAGTCGCATGCTATTAATTAACCTGGAATATAGCCCTGTGGTAAAATGCACCTTAAAAGACACTCAAATGAAAGAGCTTCACAGTGTAACAGAGGTTGACAAAGGCAGTTTAATTCCTCGCAGCAAGATGCAGATAACTAGTCTTTAATGAAGATTTGGCTTCTCTAAGGAAAAAAATCTAGACATCTTTTTTGGTCATCTTGAATATCAATTTCTGTGCTGGCTTATAAGGATGTGTTGCAAAGCTGATGGAATAAAGAATGCAGAGGTTCCCTTGAGCTTTCTAGTCTGTCTCAATTTCATTTGCTCTTTCTGGAGAGCCTGTAGTTTACAGGGAATCCTAGAGAAGTCCTGTTTGTCACAGTTAATTTTCAGTCATGACATACAGCTTGACAGATTTGCCTCAGTGGCAGAGGTCATATTTCCAGAGTTGTTCAGACGTGTACAGCCTCTCCTGGCTGAGGTACATTCTCCACATTTGGCTCTAGTCAGTCTCAGAGATGTCATGCTCTTCTCTCGCTCTTTGTATAGCTCTGGATTCTCTGAACATCTTGTTCTGTAACAAAATCTGATCTTGGTGAGTATTTTCTGTATTGTTTCCTCAGTTTAAACAGCAAAACAAAATAACACCTCTCCCCCAAAGAAGAAAGAAAAAAACAGAATTCAGAACTACAGCCTAACTAATTTGAAATTAGGATTAAATCACATTGGAAATTGTCATTGCTTACATTATCATCTATTTGCAGCTTCCCCACATCAGCCCAGCAGCTACAGAATACATAGAGGAATGACCAGCCTAAGAGACAATTTACATGTCTGTGAAATCCTGGTCAAATTCTGATAGCCTTCTCTGCTTGTTTGAAGTTGAGAATTCTTGCAATCATACCAACTGAGAAAGCATCCTTCAGTTCATTTGTTAATTAAAATTGGTTTCAGGAAGTAAGGGAAAAATATTTTAGACAAGCTTCTGTTAAAGATGTGATGACTTGACTTGTAAGTGTTATGTGTCTTAGTGAGTCTGTCTACTTATCCATCAAAGCACCAAACACAAGTACATAATGAAATTCCATGTCTTCTTTTGTTAATCGCAAGTTACATCATATCTAATGCAATGATTGATCAGTAAATGTGCATATTTTTATGCTTATTTGTATTTACAATTCTAACAGTTGTTGAGCCCATCAAAATACTTTACAAATTGATTTCAATCATTATTAGCAGTGAAAGATAGGATGGAAATGCTCAGTTGCTAATCACTGGTGTAGAAGATCAAGGCTGGTAGTTGTCACATCAGCAAGCTATAAGCTGTTAAATGAAGGAGAAAAACAATCCAATGCTCCTGATTGCAGTTGTGAAGCTTAAATGAATCTAGTGATTTGAAAAGGCTGATACCAGACCTGCCCTTCTCTTACATCTGTTTAATTATCTTCACTAACTATTTTGTTGTTTAGAAGGTGAATCAGCTGTGTCAGACATGCTGAATCTTGTATTCAACACTGTGTGAAGGCAGAGGAAGAGGTCTTTGAAGTGCAGTATCTCGGCTGTGAGCACATAGGTGTTAGGAGCATGCTGTGCTCTTGGCACTAAGTAAAAAAAAACAGGCTTTCTTCTCGTTAAATAGGTTGAAATGGGGAAAGCTTATCAGAGCTTGAAAGTGGGAAAGATTTTGTTGCTTCAACCACTCCTGTGCTAGCATGCTTTATGAGTTCTGGAAGTAGTTACACCATGTGGTTCAAATCAAACAATGTACTCGGTACAGGAGAAAGAGAAGGGGAGAAAACAGTTCTGCTAATAGGAGAGCTGGCTGGGTAAATACAGTCACTTTACAAAAATGTAAATGGAGAATTGTTTCTCTAAAGAAAAATTATACCATCTGAAAGTGCATGTGAAGAAAGACAGGGATGTTTTTTCAAGCACTGTAAACCTTGTCGAGTCACCCAGTTGCATGCACTTAGCTTGGGTGAGTGTAATGAAAGGCAAGGAGCCAAAATGAAAGATGTTGGTGGAAACTAATGGTGAGTCCTGGTAATTGGAGCTGTTTGGTTGGGGAAGAGGAGATGGGGTGGGGTCTTCTTGTTGATTGGAGGGGAAAATACAGTAAGAGAGGAAGAAATCTACATTTTCTAGCCACCCATTGCTGGCAGGTTTGAGTAGATTGCTTTTTCTACTTTATGTATGTCATTTCCTACTACTTTGCTAATGCCTACATCCTAAAGGAGAAAAAGTTGAGAGAAAACACAGTTAAAGGACATTGAATTGTTTAAGTAGCTTAGGAATTCGGAATTATCAGCAATCAATATTGTTACTTTGATCAATTCTAAACTACTGCCTGAACTTTCTTATAATATTGTTTGGGTTCTTTTGCTTTGGCTACTTGTGTGCTGTTAAACTGTTTAAAAGACTGTTTTCAAAGTCTTCAATTTGTTTGGCAGATGCTATTTAGCTGAACAATCTTTCAGATTTTATTGCACTCAAAACCAGTTCAGTCTCTCCTTCTAAGTAAGATCACACTATTTATTTGTGTCTTGGCATTGATGATAAGCTGTGCTCTCACAAGGGTTTTGTTACCATGCTGCATACTTACAGAGTTAACTCAGGGTTGGCATCTCCAGCACAGCTGAAAGTTTCCTGGACATACAACTGACCAAGAGTTGTAGCCTGAGTTCCAGTGCTTCTGAAAGAGGGTCTGAGTTTGTCTTTGTTGTTTTCTCCATTATTCTGAGGAATAGATTTCCCTTATGACTCTGAAGAATTCTTCTGGAAGACTAAAAGAGGAGATGAGCACCCGATGTAGCTGTAGGTGTCCCTGTTCACTGTAGGGGAGTTGTACTAGGTGACCTTTAAGGGTCCCTTCCAACTCAAACAATTCTGTGATTTTTTCCATGGCACAGGCAGTGAGAAGGAAGAGTAGAGTTACTTGAAAATATTATTCTTAGGATAAATTTGCGTAGTAGGAGCTTTGATTTGTTATGGATGCCTCAAGGAAGTAAAAAGAGAATTAATTATTTTAGTCTCATCCTTTGTAAACATAGATTGAAGATTATGATGTAGGCAGTCTGATCCAATATATTGGTTAAAAGGTACTAAAAGATGAAGCTAGGAAAGTGCCAACAGAAAAATCTTGTCAAAGTCAAACCCTTTTCTACTCTTAACCATGTTCACCGTCCATAGCTTCAAATCATGCCGACTGTGGAACATAGATGGAAGTATTTTACACGGGTCATTAAATTCAACCTTTCCATCTACAGGGCACAAAAGTGTGAGTTGGAATAAACCAATATTTGCAGGACTTCAGGCTAAATGGGTTGTTTTTTAATATTGTTAAAACTAAATCACATTTCCATTCTCATAATCTCTGGTTTCTGTAAAATGCTTCAGAGTATAAAGTGTTCAGAGTTATTTAAAGTCTTCATGGTACAAATCGTTAAGGAGAAAGCCTCATCTTTATTCAAGTTGGAGCTGTTAAGCAGAAACCTTAAAATATTTTTTCAGTGTTTATTTTTGTATCAACACACAGCTGGTCAAAATCCAGTAGCTAGTTGCAGTGTTAGTTTGGGAAGCTGATGACCAGGTAATGTTTTCTTTCTAGAAGTGCTTTGCAATATAATGTAATACTTAAGAATGTAGTGCCTAATGGGAGGGTCTCTTCATCTCTATATTTCTTCAGTTTACCATTTTGTGTACTGCCATAATAGTGAATAACAGTTGTTCTGTTTGTGTTGGAGGAAGCAGGGTTAGAGTTACAGTACAGAATGTCTTGGGGGCTGGGAGAGGCAGATAATGTGGTCTAAATCAGTTGGCTGTAGTGACTTTCTTTTACTTTTGCCATATCTGATGTTTCAGGTAATTGCTCAGTGAGTTTTCTTCAACTCATCTTGTTAATAATTTTAAGTATTAGAGAAGGACTCATATTGTGAGGCTGAGCTCCGACTTTGGAAGCTTGCCATAGTGAGAGAAGGTGAATGAAGAGATGGTCTTATTTAATTCTTGTGATGTGTCTTGTTATACATTGCAGTGAAACCATCACCTTGGACAAAATTTACTTGTGTATCAAGCAGATATTTTGTCTTGGCTGTTCCAAATGATGCTTGGCTTAAATCATTTTGTGGGGGTCAGTCAGTTGGATTGCCCTTTGAAAGAAGCGATGCATGTACTGCAGTCTAAGAATTGGTTATTAATGTCTGCATGAAGTTTACATTTTCTTCTCTCTCCCACATTTATTTGATGTTATTGTATATTCTCTACAAGAAGAGGGAGATTACCAAGTAGGGTTCCATATTTGCATTTTGTATTGTTTTAGGGTGCTTTCGTTTGGAGCATGCACGTGGTTGTTGTTGTCTGTGACAAACTGTGCTGATGTCTGTGGGGGGCTCAGCAATTCTGTACAAGAGCTTGAATTGATTTAGCCACCATGATCAGAGATACCTACTGCAGTAATTACTGATCTGTTTGGGATCTAGAGGGCAAAGCGAGAGCAGCAAAATCTGTTTCCTTGAGGCAACAAGATTGAGCCACCCTTGTGTTTCACAAAGAGTGGGGAGAAAGCATTTCTATGCTGTGAATCTGGAGCTTTTCATTCTGGCTAGTAGCATAACACATTGGCATTTTAAAATGAATTAGGAAAACCAAAACCATAACAAACTTTTTTTATAATTTTATATACTGTGTGTGTGTGTATGTATGCTTTTTTTGGCTTTGACTTATCACTTGAGTGTTTTTGTTTGTTGGTTTAAATTATTGTTGAATGTGAACTTCTCTGTTTAATTGTAAACCTTAATAACTCTCAGGAAAATAAAAGCTTGTGAAGAAGAAACATTTTGAAGTGAGAAGTGCAAGTTTTTGCAGGCTCAAGGGAGCTTAAACTTGAAATAATGAATGGAAACAGTCTGTAGGATCTGCCCATTTTAGGATGATTTCTAACCTTAATGGTCTCTCTCTCCTTTCAAGGGAAAATTGTGTTTAGGGTTTGACAACAGTGTATGTGTTTGTCTTCTCTACTGAATGAATTTCTCTGCATGCACTGGTAGGAAGGGATACTTGCTGAGCTTTCATGAGTTTGAATTTGGGAACGTTTTTCTGGATAATTGTACTCACCAGTTAATTACACAGTCCTGCTACCCACATCATAGAACGAGGGAAACCTTAAAGCAGTTTTTTAGCTGCTTTGAGAGGAAGGGGAGTTGAAGAAATGGAAGGAATTACTCAGTAGATCCTTTTACATCTGATACCTGTATGCAGTAATTCAATACATTTGCTAGGAGATTAGAAATATTCTAGATTACAAGATAGTTGTGCAGCCTGGGCACCAGCACTGCAGGAACATCCTAAACTGATAGGAGAGTGGAAAATGTTTGTGGTGATGATGATGAGGAGGGAAGCGATCATTCTGTAGCTGGTGCTTATGATGTAGAGGAGAATGACTTTTAAATCCTTTAAGTGTTTCCTCAGCTCTTTGGTAAATCATGTAGTAAAAATTAGTGCCTCTGGAAAAGTAATGAGTTTGCTTTTTATTCTTACTGACATAAAAGCTTGTGCCTCCTTTGGTGAAATGAAGCTGTTTTGCTGTGAGGTATAGAAAAAAGAATTTGAACTCAAGAAAGTGGAAAAGGAAAGTTTTATTAGCCAGTTTGGTTCTCTGATTTCAGTGCTTGTTTTGCTATTTCACACTAAAGTTTGGAAGGAGAATCCTAGAGAAGGGTTCAGGTTAGTTCTTTGCCTTCTTACAATGCTGACTAGAATTTTATTTCTTTTCAGTAGTGAAATTATTTCTTGCTTTGAACTAGATAAAACTGAAGTTCCCCAAAATGTTTCTGTTTGGCTCAGCTAGTCTAATTCAGACTCTTCCTTTCCTCTGCTAACCTGATCTTCTCTATCCAGGTCATTGCTTCTACACCATTACTATTGGGAAAGCAATTAATTCCATTCCTGCTTTGGAGTTGGCTTTCATGACATGGCTCCTATAGCGTTTGATCATTTTTGGTGTTTCAGAGATGAAATAACCTGGAGATAGGAGATCTGTGAGTGTGACCTTGAGGATATGAACACTGAGACAGAATTGTCAACTTCAAAAAAAAAAAAAGAAAAAGAAAAAAGAGGGAGGGGGGAAGTTGGGGCGGAGGGACTACTATAGAGGTTATGAAGCACCATAGGTGAAAAGGGAAGTGTGTTGGTATTGAATATGTGTTTGAGCAAATAAAGTTACATCAAGAAACGACTCAAAACAATTGTATGTTAATCTGCAGAATTTTTGTTTTCCTTCTTTCAAACACAGCTGATCCTGCTGCTCTGGGATTCATCATTTCTCCGTGGTCTCTCCTCTTGCTTCCATCTGGCAGTGTATCATTTACTGATGACAATGTTTCCCACCAAGACCTGCGAGCATTCACAGCACCTGAGGTTCTGCAGAACCAGTCCCTGTCATCTCTCTCAGATGTTGAGAAGGTACTGTGCCTCTTCTACTGCGGAGTGCTGTCTTTAAATGGACCTTTTCGTCTTCAGAATTCTTTATTTGTGTGCTTCATTGATTTCTTTTGGGAAAGGGGAGGGACCCTTCTGCTTTTTTCTGTGTACATGTGAGGGGTAGAGATTGTGGCTATGTTATGCCTGTAGGAATAAGTGTCCGTGTGCAGAACTGCATGTGTTCTACTAACAGCCATGCCTGAGCAGTGGCTACGTGATTTCTACACTGCCCGTCTAGCTAATGGGAAGGAACATTTCACCTTGTTTTTCTAAAAGTAACATCAAGAATTTCTTTCAAAGGCAAATAGCATGTAAGAGGTAAGCAAAACAATTACTCAAGCATGCCAAGACTTCAAAAAATCAGATACTTTTGCTCCTCTCAGAAATTTTATTTTAATTATTAAAAATACTCATCAGTTGTGTGTAGAATTGTTCCTTTCCACCTTCCTTTTCTTCTTTTCCCCAAGGGTTGATGATCAGGTAGGTAATGGTTGTGTATGAAATCTGCTCCGGGTCGTTGATACAAATAGTTACGACAGTTCGCTTCTCAGATGTTTGCCTAACAACCATTTGTTGCAAGTGGTAATGCTCTGCTATTTTGGCAATATCTTGTCAAAGATATTTAGAGGTTGGAGTAAAAGGATGCTGAGCTCTGTTCTCATCTTCTTGGCTTCTCAACATCAGTAATCCTAAGGGAAGGATAGGAGCCAAAGCTAGCGTTGTTTTAAGCTGGGAACAAGCATGAAAGGGTTTGACAACACTTCTCCAGAAAGAGCAGCACTTTGCTCTTGCATCCAAGGAAGCTAGTGTTGGCATAAGGACTATCAAAACATGTTTATGTCTATAGAATACATGATGTGTGCTACTGTGCTACTTCTGCTTTTCCCTAAATCTTGTATGTAGTTGTTTTTGTTTTTTTTTTTCTCACAACTGTATCAGATGAAAATCACTGCATTTTTAGTTACAAGCTCTTTCTCTGCAACATAGTAAAATGTAATGGCATAATAATGTATATTACTTGATCTACGACAAAACCAGGCAGCCAGCAACCTAAGTTGAAAGCTTTAAAAGAAAAGTAAAAATAACACTGAGGTGAATGCCAGGATCAGATTCAGTAAAGTAGAATACAGCTGCCAAATTCTGCAGTCATAGTATTGGAATTATTTATCTTGCTTCAGGAGAGACAACATTGTTGAAGACAATAATTTTGTCTCTAGTGTAAGCTGGAAGGTTAACATACAAAACAGGCCTTTAAAAACATCAGAAACAAGTTTCTGAATGGCACATTTGTGAAATTCAGGACTGATAGCATTCTTTGCTTCATGCCAGTATTCATTCAGAACATCTAATATTAAAAGTCATGTTGTGATGTTTCTTTAGGGAAAAAAATCACCAGAAGGACTTCTGTGGGTTGTTAACATGGGCACAGACCATATCAATAAGCAGTGACCAAACATTGGCATTCTTCACATACACAGTGCTGATTAATCTCTGGTTACAGCAGCGTGAGTTTATTTCATGAGCAACGCAGCTTTGCTTGCTGGAAATGCGACTCCAGGCTGCAGCTATTGTGATGATGTTTCCACTGGGAAACAACTGTGTGTGTGAATTTATAAGCTTTGGCTTTACATAACCAAATTACTCAGTCACCTATTAACTAAGCAGAACTCTTTACTTTGTGATTGAAGCTTCAGACTTTGGGTTTAGGATGAACTAACTTGATTCACAAAATTTACTAAATTTCTGCTCATTTTGTCCATGGTGTGGGGAGAAGGGTAAAAAATGAACTGTTGGGATACCGTGGGATGATATTAAAAACATTTGAGAAAAGTGTTGCTGCTGCCATTCCTGTTCTCGTTTAACATTTGTCAGATGAATCACAGAGTGATGCTCCCAGTGCAGCGCTTGGGACTGGGTGCAGCTAAGGACAGCCACAGTCCAAGTTGTTAGATGTTATATTATTCATCCTGCAGTCAAATAAGGGAGATTCTTCTCTTGATTTCCTAGAAATAGTCCCCTAGTGTTAGAAGAATTTAAGGATACCATGTTTTCATGGTGGCAATAGTGTACAGTAGTATTGTGTTAAAGTTACACTGGATAGCATGCCAAGGACAGGAGCGGCTGTGATTGCTGGTCTGTAACCCCTGACGTGGGAACTGCACAGGATAGTAGTTTGTGTGTAGTTCTTCCATGATACCCATCCTTTTGGATGTATTTGTTTGCTTATGTGGAAAAAAGAAAACTTCCTGAAATAGGAAAGAAGTGAATTTGGCACAAAAACTTGACTGTAAAGTTATACTGGTAAAGCACTCTAATAACGGTAAAACAATGGCAAAACTCCTCACTTGGAGAATAACCTGGCCAAACTAAGCAAGTTTTTCTCCTGGCATAAAAGCAGAACTGTAAATAATTATCTTTTTGTTTCTTCCCAGTGTTTTGTGTGAACACCCTTGTAATATGATGGCATTGTTTGAAGGCATCAGGACTATTCAATAACTTACTTGCACATGCTTCTTCTTACTAGTTGTTTCCCTTTACATCAGTACTAAACTATGTGTTGGAGTGTACAGTGTTTTTCTCCAGATGAACTGACTTCATGGTTCTTAGGTCTTGCTTTGCGTTAACTTCAAACGTATTTTAAACTTTTTTTTTTTTTTTTTCTACTTCTGTGGTTTGCTAAAGTCATTTAATGGAAATCTGAGTGTTTTCCTCTTTTGTTTTTGTTCTGAAATAGGTCTGGTCTGGGAGTTGGACTTTGTGTTTTCCTATTTCTCCTGCTCTCTGACCAGACAGTGAGAGGATAGCTTTCAGCTTTGCAGCTGTGACCTCACTTGTTAACTCAATGGAACGGTGTATGCTTTGCTAACTATCAGACAACACAGTGGTCAGGCAATGAATACCCTTCTGATTAATCTAGGACACTCAATCAAATTGAATATAAATCAAATTTGATGCAACTGCAATACGATATAGCTAAAGTTATAGTGCAAGATGATTTTATGAAGTGAATTTGGCATTAGTTTCTAGATTGTGGAAATTATTGGAATTATTGTAAGACAAAGATGAAGTAAAATGTTTTGAATGACTGCTTTAATTTCCAAGAGGTGCATTTCTAAGAGGTTCATTTTCAGTCAAAGGTTATGTCTCATGGAGAAAGAGTATTCTCAGTGTCTGTGCTTGCTCAGTATTACTGAGCAAAATCACCTCTTGTTTACTGATTGTTTGAGATTTGTAGAATTCATGGTGGGTTTTTTTGTTATTGTTTCATTTATTTGCAACACATTTTTTCATAGATGGTTTTTGCCTCCTTTTTCATGCCTGCATTATCTCATGTAAGGAGCCTGATGCTGTGCTGTACAAAGCTCAATCGGTGATATCTTTGTGAACAGACTGCTTTGGGATTTGCTATCTCCCTACATACCCCTGACTATCTCACCTATGCTATGGCTGTCAAGGAACATGCCAAACACCAGTCTAAGAGCAAGATGTGTCTATTTGTCTAGTTTTGAAGTTAGAGTATATGAAAGGGAGAGAGTTGCTGGGTTTTAATCTGTGAGACATTACTTTAAACTGAAACCCTGTATTCCTGGGAGGTATGTAGTGGATACATTTTTGTTTTATATGTAGTAGTACCTTGCAAGTAACTGGAGAGAGACAGCTATGTGGGATTGAAGTGGCAGAAGTCTAGGATTGGAGCTTCTCTGAGTATGTTGATTTTTCAATGTTATACGAATAAAATGCATTGAATTTAAGAGAGCAATTTTTAGTATGATGTTGCTTCTACTTTTGTTTAGTAATTACTTCCTTACTCTGTCTCAAAGCTGTGTATTGCTCTTTGGAATACATTATAAGGAAACATTTCCTATTTTACAAGAGAAATCTGAACACGCCTCTTACATGTGTTTGGGGCTGCATGTCTGCACGGTGCAGTGGTGACAGTTATGTTGTGCTGCCTTTCAAGCAGTCTGGCCTAAACAGGAAATCATTGCTATATCCTTTTTCTGAGTCTTTGAGAATACGTTTTGTTTTCTATACACGAAGAGACTTCCCAATGCAGAGATCAATTCTCATGTCCAACCTTCAGCTACTTCTGGCTGCGCATTTTCCACCAATTCTACAGGCTTAGAATGGGCTGTTTCACAGGTTGCAAAAAAAAAAAAAGTTTGTCTGTTGCTTCTGTCCACTCAGTTGTGACTTTATGAAACTTCACATGAAGTTTCTACACTGGGACAGAGCTTATCAGCGTATGTATTTAGGACTTAAGTAAGATGAGTTGCTTTTCATTGGTGAAGAGACTTCTTTCAATGATTTATTCTTAATTTATAATTGTCCTCATAATTGCTGTTCATTGTCTGTGCAATTATTTAAAGTTACACATATACTGCAATCAGTCTGATACAAGAGTCATCTGTAGTGTGTGTTCCTTACAGTCCAAAAAACTTGTTTTTCCAGTAATTACTTATCTGTGTCATAAACAACACAGTGACCTATAGGGACTCTGTGCATTTCTGGTCTTAAATATGCAGTATTTGATGGCTGTACTACAACTCCAGGTGAGATTAATATGTTAAGTCATATGTTAATATCACTGCTGTTGATATTAGTTGTTAGTTTATAGATATAATGATTAACACATTTGTATCTTACAACATCAATGATAGATTAAGTTGACTGCTTTATACCTTTGATACTCCTGCATTCCTTGCATTTTCTCCTCTGAGTTGCATCCATCCCTTGGCAGTAGCAGCTGGCTGTTTGTGTCTTGTTGTGCCTTCAAACCAAAGCATTATGGTGCCTCAGGTACTGCCTTGCAGTCTGTGCCCCATCTGAGGCTGCTGGCATGGATTACACAGGCGTCTGCCTTCAACGTGAGAGGAAAGTTTAAAGTGAACAAAGAATTCAGAGACACTGATGAGATGCATCCATTTTGTTGCAGTAGAGTTTGCTTCTCCAGCACTCATGGAAAAGGGGAAGAAAAATCTGAAAGTCAGCTAAGCTTAAGTGCCAAGAAAGTGTACACACAAAATGACTCTGAGTTCTTTGCTCTGCTTTAAGATGCTTTACGGTTCCAGTTCAACTCCTGAGTTGACAAATGTCTTTTGTCTTACTACAGGTCCATATTTATTCTCTTGGTATGACGCTCTTCTGGGGAGCTGACCATGAGGTTCCTCAAAGCCAAGTAAGTTTCATTTGGTTTTGTTTAATACCATAGTCTCAGACTGGATTGTGTGACTGCTGTTGTATGTGAACAAACACAGTGGGCTCTCCTCGTGGGATGCCAAAGAGTGTGGATTATTTTCTGTACTTCTGTACTTCTGAAATACTTCTGTATTTCCTGTGATGTGTGAGGGTATTGTTATCATACAGAAAGAAGGTACTGATACCATATTTGTGTTTGTTTCTGTGAAGATATATTTAGGTTGGTCTGTCCTTTAGTGTCACAGGCTGAAAGTCTATAATTAATGCTACTTACGAAGGAGAAAATAATTTGTTTTGGTTCAGACTTATGTATAAAAACAAATATTTAAGTAATGTGGCTTTACCCTCAGTAAAGCCACTTGTGATTTTGCTGTTACTTTGGTGAGCATGGACTCAGCATGTGCAGCTACATTACGGAATGGCCAAGAAGGGCTTTGTGTTGTTTGGAATGGGGAGTAACTACTGACTTGCCAGGCAGTGTAGACGAGACTGCTTAGAGCTGAATCTTACTTCTCAAGAGGTCATCTTCCACACCCACCACTCATTTTTGGAAGAAGTGTGGAACATGTAATTCATGTGCTGCCTGCGTGCTGCCTTCCCCTCCAGCTGAGCTGTCAGCAGTCAGTGTTATAAAGGGTGAAAATCAGGTGAACTGCATAGAGAGCATTTAATAGCAGACTTGCTGTAGAGGGATTTGACAGTGTTGTGCAGCTCAGGGAATTGACGTATTTCTGTTTCATGTTTTGGTTTGGTCCCATTTATGTGTGTTATGTGTAAAGGTAAGGAAGGAAATTTGAAAGGCTGTCTGGCAGTTTAAATGCTCCATTTCTAATGTTTTTCTGTAATGGAGTGGTAGTTGGGTTCTTAGTTCTATTGATTTGGAAGTCTCTGTCTGAGTGCAGAAGTCAGAGAATTCAGTGCTGTGGTGGTTGCAGCGATACTTCTTTGCAGTATCTGCCATGTCTGCCCCTAAGCCCCACTGTTCTTTCAGTGAGCTCTCACATTTCTTTGCTGTCCTGTCTTGTATTAAGAGAAAGGGACAGTATTAAGCAAAGCAGTATTGGGAGAATATCTTTAGGCCGGTGCTATCTCCAAGTGCTTTTTGTCAAAAAGAGCATGACAGAGCCTGTGCCTATGAGGTGACTAACCCACCTGGGACAGTTGCAGATCAGAAAGCTGAAGTCTCAAGTGCTTGTGGCGTCTGAGAAGAGATGTTAACACTGGCTGTTGCATACCCTGTGGAATCAAATTGCACTGACACTGCTGGATTAACTGCATGGAGAGAAGAATTAAACCTAGATTGTTCTCAGTCTTGTGGGCATTGTCCTGAAACTACAGAGCTTTGCTTCCTTCAGCAGCGTTGTTGCTGCTTTAGTCCTTACTTCTTTGTTGATGATTTTTGGTGGTGTTACTGGACTTTAGAAATGCTAGCCCAGCTGGCACAGTGTGGAATTACAGAACAGTGGAGCAGTGGACAGAGGCTTAAAAAAGTATTGCAGTGAGGGTTTAATTTTTCTGATTGTGACTGGCATAATGTTGAAAAACAACAAAAACAATTAACTTACTCCAAACCTGGATGGTGACTTTCGTGTTGGCATTCACTTAATGTAGGCGATAAAAGAACAGTTCTTCTATCACGTTGAATGTCTGTTTCCATGTGTGCTGCAAGTTGCTGTTGAAACTAATTCTCCTGTCTATTTTTGTTTGTCATTAGCCTATCAAACTTGGAGATCATCTCAACAGCATCCTCCTTGGCATGTGTGAAGATGTCATTTATGCTCGAGTATCTGTACGGACCGTTCTGGATGCCTGCAGTGCTCACATCAGGAACAGTAACTGTGCCCCATCTTTTTCATATGTGAAGCAGTTAGTCAGACTGGTCTTGGGAAGCCTGTCTGGGGTAAGTGTTCATAAGCATTTGAGGATTAAGATGGGTAGGAAGAGAGAGAAGATGCTAAATCAGAGTCACTCTATGGTCATTTTTCCTCTTGTTTTACTGTGCTGCAATTCTGATAAGAAGGAATGCTGAAGGAGAAAAATTCTGAAATCCCAGGAGATAATTGTTTTTTTTCTCCACTTACCAGTTTGGAAGGGCACTGATTAATGAGGAGAAGGACTGAGTTATCAGTGTGGCAATTCTCCTGCATATCTCCTCACCCCTGAGATACGATTATTTTAGGGGAATTTATTGTCAAATGATAACAAATGCATTGGGCTGTTTTAAGAAGTGAAATGTGCTGCTTGTAGTTGTCCTGCAAAGTTACTGTTCTTGACAGAGGCATCTCCCTTCATCTGAACCATTCCATACTTATGGACTAGCCACATAATTTCAGGCTCTGAAAACAGGCCTTGTGTTGTCAGTATTACTAAGATTGTTCTTTTCTCAGTACTTATTTTCCTTGTGCTCTGTTTATAATTCCAACAAATGCCAAGCAGTGTGTTTTTACTGGAATTATATGTCATTACAGTCTTGGTTTTATTCTGTTTTATCCTGTTGGAACACTTCTATCTCAGAGGGATTATGTAAATGTAAAAAAACAAGTGTCTAGATGCACGGTATTGTGATTACATGTGTGATGACAGCATTTCATGGTCCTAGTTGCTAAATGAGTCTGTTCTGGGATGGAATAAAACGAAGACTTGCAAGACCTTTATCACTGAAGCTATTAAAATAAAGAACCAAACTTTAAATCAGGCCACAAGCTATAGAACCAACCAGGGAGAAGAATGAGTCATTCACCTGTAGATTCTTAATGCCCCTTTTTGCTTAGGAAATGTTCTCCTTTTCTGCTCATTTTATTTTTGTCAGCAGATGTGAAAAGGGTGTCTGAGGTCAATGTGAGGGACAGATCTGGCTTGGTCAGCCAGTGATGGCCATAGTGGTCTCAAATGTGTATCCTGAAGTACAGTTTCGCTGAATCCAGCTGGCTTGTTCCTGACTTTGTGCTGTTGTCTATTTCGCAGATGGATCAACTTTCTTGCAATGGAGATAAAAAATTGCAGCCAGACAGGAGCCAGGCAATTCGGGAGAGGCTGAGGGGAAAAGGACTGCCCACAGGTAAGTGCCCTGTTTCTGTGAGGATCAGGGCATAGCAGCCCCATGGAATACTAAGTATGCTGGGTAGATGTTGCAGCCAACATAATTGAGCACTGGAGCCATCAGCTTTGAGCCAGGCTTTCCAGACGGGAGGATATGTTGTTCAGATAGCCGGTCTTACTGGGGCTTGTTGGGAGCATTTTATGTTGCAGCAGCTGGACCACTCTGAGTCACTGTGATGCAGGCAGGCAGTGTGATAATCACCTGAGGTCCCTCTTGCCCAAAAATGCTTAACTGTAAATAGAAAATATTGGTACAAGTATGTGATGTCTTCGAGAAATACTCAACTTCATAAATGCATGTTTTTCAGCCACCATGTATTACCTCTCTGCATATTTACCAGCAGTAAATGCTGATCAAAAGTTATACAAAAGTTAGGTTGTTATGCTTGAGCTGCTCTTTTGGTTTTGTGTCGCCAACACAGTACAGTGCATTGCAGGAACAAAAATAATCCGTGGAGTTGTCATTGGCAATAGAAACTGCAGAAATTTGATGCAAGTCTGGCTAGTCTTTGCTTTTCTTCTCTTAATTCTTACAAGACAAGCACTGGATCAGGCTTCTTCTTGATACATAAATGGTGCGTCGTTATTTGCTCGCCCTTCCACTACACCATCATATGTTTAGGAGCAGTGTCTTGTACAACTGCCTCCTCGTTTTCTGGCACAACTGCACTGCTCTGACTGCCTCCTCAGAGGTTTGATTCTTTATTATTGTCATCTTTCCCAGAATATTTCTGGAGCAATAAGCAGATCTTGAGGAGTAAGGGACTTAGGATGAACGAATGTTGTTGCTTGGATTTGTAAACAATGTCATGCCTTCCCTCTGTGAACTTCTTAAGCCTTTCAGTCCCTTCCCTGGTTCCACCAATTCTCTAAAGGTTGTGCCAGAACCTTACTGTTTTGATTTGTTAAATTAATAATTTGTTCTTTGACCCTATACCGTCCCAGTTTCTGGTTTCATTACCTTTGTGATTTCTTTACACACCTTTATACTTCTGAAAGTATTTACTTCTTCCATTTTCCTCACTATTTTGCTTTTCAAGTGGATTCCCATCATCTTAAGTTTAGTTAATAACTTGCTATGTGTTGTAGTGGAACTTCGTTAACACATTATCATTTGTCTACTAACTCAAGCTGGGTAGTGTCAGTGCTTTCTTTTCTACCACCTGTTCTGCTTTTGATCCTGTAATTGTCATAAATTAACTGTTTTGTTAATGGTCAAAATTAATATCTGTTTCATTTTGAAGACATAGCAAGATTGTTTTTAATCTGTTCTCACTGTGTTGTTGACCTCAATTTTTCTTCCGTTTGTTCACTAATTCTGAACACTTACTCTTCTGCTTTTATTTTTCTTAAGTTCTCTTTTTTAAGTCTATTTGTGCTTTGAGGTTGTTGGGGTTTTTTTCTATTTTGTTCAGTTTTTCTACCCATGAGTTTCTGCCTAAGATTTTTAGCAATTTTAAATTTTTTTTTTTTTTTTAATTTTCAGAAGTCCTGTTTAACCCATGGTCTTAACTGTATCTTAACAATGAAGGTTTTGTTTAAATTTTACTGAATTGCAGAGATTAGTATTGCATCTTCAGCAGTGTTTGCATGGCTTTCTGGCTCACAATCAGGTTGAACAAGGTCTATTTTAATGTGGAAACATCTTCTGAAAACTGTACCTTTCACATTCAGAGAGTATGGACTAGAAGCTTGAACTAGTGTATTCGTGTTCTATCTTCTGACCTCTAAAATGGCATGTTAACATTATTCTTCCCTGATATCCTGGCTCTCTTTGAATCATGTAGTATGTATAATTGTGCTTATGAGATAAGTGAGAGGTGATGCTTTTCATTTAATTAATGCAGAATTTGGTGAGTGTCTGGGCACTGAAGGGCTGTGGAGCTGGACACACACCTCTGGGTGACCACTTGCCTCTGGCTCTATCTGGGATTTCTGCAGTGCTGGGCAGATCAGCTTCCTGAACGGTGTGCATCTGGGAATTCTCTGAGTCAGGGAAGAACAACCAAAGTCAGGGGTTCTCTGGGGCAGTGATGTCCAATTGAGTTAGCTGCAGTAAAATCAAAACAGGATTTTAAATAGTTGGAAGTCAGTATTTGCTTTATGAAATGCTTTCTTTTTTTCTGGGAACATTGCATTGTCTTAACAGACATAACTAAATCTAATCTTGACTTAAACACTACTTGGGAAACGAAGTGAACTTGGTAGCCCCCAGTCTGAAGTTGGCTGAATAGTTCTCATCCTCTGTTTCCTCTTTCTCTCAAGTTAAGCACAAGTCCTTGCGTGCCCAGCATTACAGTGGTGTTTGGCACAATGAAAGTTTGTGCATTGCTGTTTAGGTGCAAATATTGGTTTGTTTGCATCCTCTCAAGCCCGATCCTGAAGGTGTGGGTTATTAATATGTGATTTTTTTTCCTATTTTTGTCAATGTGAACTGTCAACTACCAAAAATGTTTTTGAGTGACCGTATGCTTTTTAAAGATAATTTGGTGTTTTGCTTCTTTCTCCGCTTCTGCTGGAATAGAAAAAATATATATTGTTTTTCATTGTTTATGCCTTTATTTTCAGAAAAGGGGATAAATGTAAGTCTGCTGTTCCTTTTTTTTTTTTTTAATTTTTTTTGTGCTTGACATGTTCTGCTTCCATCCCAATCTGTTTTAGTTTCTCTGTACCTGCGGAGCTCCAATTACTTTTCTCTTTTGCCTTACAGGGCTTAGACCTGTCTTGGTTCCCTCTAAAACTTTCCAGTTTTCTGACTTCAGCCCTGTTCCCCAATGCGTTTTACTGCCATCATCTTAATTCTCTGTATTTCCATCTTAGATCCATGCTTTAATCTCCACTCAGTCCTCAGGGAATATAGAGAGTCAGTACACCGCAGAACAGAACTGAACAAAATGTCCACATAACCAAAGCAGCTGTAGCTATTTTCAGTTCCACTTGGCAGATATACTGAGCTTTATGTTTGAGTGTTAGGAAGGAGACTCAGTAAAAGGAGTCTCTGGGGTTAATGAGTGACAGCTCTCATTGGATTTAGGCCTATTTAGTGCTGAGTTATTTCTTTTTCTGCAGCAGCATTCTATTTTGCTGGTGCTCATTCTGTCCATATGGACGCAGATCAGCTGCCCTGAGGGTACAGCTGTTAGGTTTGTGGAAAACAGAGCTATGGGATGTTGTACTGATCCTACCAACAGCGGTCTCACAGAGCAGCCACAAAGAGAAGACCAGATTACAGTTTAAGAAAAGCAGTAATGGTATGAGAAAAAGAAACCAAAAAGCAACTAAGAAAAGTACGGAGACTTTTTTTGTTTCCTCTCTGTTGACACTGTGCTGTTCTGCAATTCTGTGTACTTGAAATAAATGCCTCTTTACCCAGCTGCAAAATAGTGAACACTTTCAAAAGTAGAAAGCTACTGCATTAGTACTGTTATACTGATTGGACTCTTTCCAGTGAGTCAGGAGTTATGTCCATCATTTTTCTCATAACCGGTCATCAGCTGGATTTAACTCCATTCACCACTGCTCTCTGGGCCTGGCCATCCAACCTGTTTTGTACCTAGCGAAGAATCTATCTGTCTATCTGACAGCCATGGACTGTCAAGCTTCTCCAGAATACCATGAAAGACCGAGTCAAAGGCTATCCTAAAGGCTAGATAGACTACATCCACAGCCTTTCCCCCTTCTCCAAGTCAGGTCACCTGGTCATAGGAGGAGGTCAAGGTGACAAAGCAGGACTTGCCCTTCGTGAACCTATGTTGACTGAACATGATCCCTCAGTTGTCCCACACGTACTCTGCTCTAGGACTTTCACTGAGATCAAGGTCAATCTGACAGATCTGTAGTTCCCTGAATCTTTCTTACTATCCTTCTTGTAGATAGGCATTGTGTTAGCAAGTCTCTATTCATCTGGGAGCTTCCTGGTGGACCAGGACTGCTGATAAATGATGGAGATGATGGACTGCTTTGACCTGGCATTTTTTTTTTAGGAGTCCTATATAGCTAAGAAATGTGTTAAGTGGATTGAAAATAAAGCTGTGGTCATTTTCACAGCAAGAAGCTGAGCAGAGGTCTTAATTGGACAGGAGACTTGTCTGATGCTCACTGGGGTGAAATGCTGTTGAGACATTGCTAAATTGTATTTAGAGAGGCTTGTCAGTGTATGGAATAGCTATCAGAGAGGGAAAAAAGCAGCACAGAGCAAAAGCATTTATTATAAATTTTAAGACCATCAAAACATTGCTGTGAGCATCTAACTTCAGATTGCTTCTTAAGTTTGCGCTGTATTCTTGCTAATGGAGATGGTTTAGCTGAAGAGAGACATGCTCCCAGTTTCAGTCTTTGAAGAGTGGAAACATTACCTTTAAGATTGGTTTTCCATGCCGTGGTCATCCAAAATGACAATTTTGCTGGGGCTTTTTCTCCTGGCTTCAAACAAATGTACTGAAATATTTTGTTAATTCACTTCTTGAAATTAGATACCTTGCTGTCCTTACATATACTAAGGTTGGATATTTTCAGTTATTTGTTTCTCCTTACATCTTAAATATGATTATTAATTAGCTTCTCGCTCACATTCTCCCCATTTACATTTATTTTCTCTCTCTCTTATGTCTCAATTTCTGTGGTTATTTTGGTGAATGAGCTTCATGGCAGGGCTGACTGCAGAAGTAATTTATTCTAAATTAATATTACAGAACATTTGTTTAGTTGAATCTTATTCAGGACGCAGTATTTAGGAGCTGACTTAGCCAGCAGAAATAAAAATGGTAAAACCTGGTGTGAGTCATCTGAACATAGGAGTTGTTATTAAAGCTTCCTATTCAAAACACGGTAGACCTTGAAAGTCTTAAAGAATCTTTTTTGTGGAAGTTGTTTGATGTAATTCTTTTGGTGTGATGACAGGGTGAATAATTTTCAAGGTCTTCCAAATATAAAGCAAGAAATAATTTGCAACCATTCTCT